ATACTAACCTCACTCCTTTGTAACTGGCAAAAATGTAATTAATTCAGAAAATCTTTTCAGGACCCCACCTTGATGTTTCGGGACCCCACTTTGAGTCCTGACCCCAACTTTGGGAAACACTGCTTTAGAGCAAAACTGACTGGGGATCTGGGTAACTTTGGTAATACCTGCTGTAGTTATCCACGTTTATTTGTTATCAAAATATCTCATGAACCATCAAATTTAAATGAAACTTTCAGAAAGCAGTGACTGCCACAGATAATAAACCTTAACTCACATAAAATAGAGTTAGACTCAGTTCATTTTACAGCTGTGCAGAAGGTTAGCATTATTCATGAGATCAAAGAAAACATTTTGAAGGTTTGACTAAAACAACATGAGATGCTCTTCAGAAGGAGGTGGTGATTCGATGGTTCAATTATATCAACACACCTTAATTAGAAGTTTTAAAGAAGTTTTCTTTTTATTTTTAAAAGATGAACACATATAAAATAGTTTGCATATTGAAGAGTGGCTACAGATCACCTGAGCGGTTTGTTTCTCACGCTGAAGCTCAAACTGGGCTGTCACTTCTGAATAAAACCTGAAAACTTCTGAGAGGAAGAACCTGGTGTGTCCACAGTCTGTCCACAATCTGTCCACAGTCTGTCCAGTGTGTCCACAGTGTGTCCACAGCCTGTCCACAGTCTGTCCACAATCTGTCCACAGTCTGTCCAGTGTGTCCACAGTGTGTCCACAGTGTGTCCACAGTCTGTCCACAGTGTGTCCACAGCCTGTCCACAGTCTGTCCACAGCCTGTCCACAGTCTGTCCACAGTCTGTCCACAGTCTGTCCACAGTCGGTCCACAGTCTGTCCACAGTCTGTCCACAGTCTGTCCACAGTCTGTCCACAGTCTGCAGAGTGTCCTCCTGCTCCTCGGTCTGACGTCCTGTCTCTAGGAGCAGCAGCTGTGCAGCACTTTCTTAAAGAAGTTCCTGAACTCTGTGTTGAAGACGGTGTAGATGACCGGGTTGAGAGCGCTGTTCACGTAGCCGAGCCACGTCACCACGCTCATCAGGGCCGGAGGGACGCTGCAGTCCTGACACTGAGCTCGCATGATGTGCAGAACAAAGAAGGGCGTCCAGCAGAAGAGAAAGGCTCCTGCAGCAGGACGAAAAGAAGTCAAGACTGGACCTTTGATGGAATGATTTTGGACATTTTTATGTTGAATAAAACTTTATTTTATAAAGATTCATAAAGAGAAAACTAAATGATTAGTTCATTAATTAGTGAACAGTCAGTGACACACTTGTTTTTCAATGACAGCTAAAATTCAGATTTTCTTGAGTTTTTTCAGCCTGTTACATGTGTCAAACTAAAGGCTTGCGGGCCAAAACTGTCCCCAAAGGTAATACTTTAAACATGAACTATTTATGGTTTCTTTTTTTGTCTCTGTATTTAGTTATTCCTCTCATAAGAGCTGGTCAACTTAAAAGCCAAAAAAGTTTGAATTCTTCAGTAATTTCTCAGTTTGGAGTAAAAACAAAACAATTTTATTTTTAGTTTTCTGTATTCTTTTCTTATTTTAAAGTCAAATATTTGGATTTTTAGTGAGGAGTGAGGGTTTTTTAGAAAGACAAAGTGTCTTCAGTCAGAGGCTTCTTCATCTTCGCTGTAATACAGACGCTACAGAAGATCTTTCCTGTCCAC